CCCCGCTGCCACTAGTGATACGGTGAGCAAGATCGAACGAACCCCCACTCACTGTTGGCTCCCCACCATCCACTGTGTGCCGCAGTCACTCCGACAGATATTCGCCACCCATCCTAGGCACCCCAGATATCTAATTCGTGCATCCTCCGTTTCGACGTACCTGGCTTTGTCTATCGGTCAGGTGAGTGCCTCTTCCCCTTCAACTCTGCACTCCCGACGCCACCATGCACGCTCTATCCTACTAACCCCCTATTATACTAACTCCCTACCCAAACTAACACTGTCAGCGGTTTTGCCATGCCAAAAAAAAAAAACCTCCATTTTGCAAATTCCTCCGCCCGTTTTCATCAAGCAACGGGGGAGTCACCCCCTTTTTTGTTCACCACGCCCGCCACCTGCCATAGCCCGGCGCATCGACCTTTCCACTGACCTTCCTTCCCGCTAACTCTCCTACTAAACTGACCTCATATTCGATGTCGCCCTCTCCTAAAAACTCCGGCTAGCATCTACCCCCGCCTGATCACACCAAGAAACAGGCGATTTCCGAAATTTCTGCCCTGCTACGGCCAGCTCCCGCCATGTCTCCTGCTGCACGTACTTGGCTCCGAATCACGCCAGGTTCGTCCCTTCGTTTCCACTTCTCCCTCCTCCTCTTTCGTTCCCGTCTGCGCCTCATCGACCCACTGTCGGGCGCCCGTTACCCGTTGTCCGCACCTCGTAGTTTTCATGCTTCCTCGGCTCCCTTCGGCACCCCGCTCCCACAGCGCCTTCTACCTCTTCTCACCCCCTCTCTCTCTCATACTCACACACCTGGCGCCGATCTCACCCCGTACGGGCTTCCGCTGCCGCTCCTTACTCCGCAAGTACCTGGCCCCGGACTCCGCCCTAATTCATTCGTCCGCGCTCACTCTACTCCAACCCGACTCATCGCCCGTAGTCCGCTGCGTGACCGCCCCGACCAGCGCTGGCATCCCCTTTATCGAATGTACCCGGTACAAAACCGCACCGGGTTCATCCCACATCTTCCTTACTGTGCCCGCCGCCCCGCTGCCTTAACGCCCCCGTACTCTCTTACCTTCCTTCTCCATCCCCGGGTGTACCTCAACGCAGAACCCGTCCGGGTTCCTTCCTTTCTCCGGACACCTTCCTCGCTGACGTCACCCCGGTCTCCTTCTCTCCGGTAACACTTAGCGCAGCCGCCCACTTTCCCGACTGCCCCGGCTGTCAAACTTTCCAACATGCAAAAAAAAAACTCTCCGTTGCCCCGACGGAGCCTCCCACTTATACCGCTCTCCCGCTCCGTACTATCGTATCTCCGACACCGTCCTGCTTCTTACTGTCGCCTCGCCCACAACCGCGCTGTGCCGGCCGGGCAATTCCGCTGTCCTCGCCTGAACCTGGCGGGGCCCTCGACCAGGTCCCGAAGGACCTTCACCGTGGCCGTACCGCTTGGCCCTCCATAATCTGAGCGGCCCGTGCAACCCAGAGCGTCGTGTTCCACCCCGTGGCGCCTCCCCTATACCGCCCCGATATCTTCCTCCCGGTTCCCCAAGGGCTTGTCTGCGTCGGTACCCCGCGGCCCTCTAGGACAACCTCAGGCAGGTTCGACCACTTTTGCCCTTACTCACCAATTGCCACCACCTGGGTTCGAGCACGACCCGTACCTTCAACAGCTCCATGGTGTACCCACTGACCCGCGTCCTCGGGGTCCTATCAGCAGTCGTGGTGCCACGCCCCAGCGGAACGGGTCCGTTAGATAGAACTAAAAATAAGGGAAGATAGAAAAAAGTGGGTATATAAGGGCCGCTAACGGGAAATGGGTATCGGTCGTCACCCCGCCAGCCCTGTGGGTCATGCTTACCAGCAAAACCGAGGGGGATAGCCCGTCAGGCCCTCAACCCCTCAGTTCTCTCCAGCGCTCCGCTGCTCCTTCGTTGCCGCATGCTGGCCTCGATCCCCAAGTCTCCGCAGTAATAGTCCACCCTCGTAACCTATAGGGCTAAGCCCAAGCCTGGTTCAATTGGACGCGAACTTCCAATAAGAACAGCCCAGGTCCTCTTTTCCTACCTGCAACCGGCGCGCCAACACCCGTTGCCGGCGCCGGCCTACTTGGATCCCACCGTGGCCACCCGCGCGCCTACCGACGCGCCCGTCCTACCGTCGATCGCGCGCGCCAACCCAAAATGAGCCTTTTATCCCTTAGTCAAACCGCAGCACGATCCAAGTCGGACGACTAGACCGGCCGCGCACTCAATTAAAAAAATCACACGTGCGCCTTAAAGCTGCGCGCCCACATACCCTCCTAACTTAACCAAGGCGGGTCTCGGACTCGATCATGCCTCGCACGGCTTATTTCGACCAAACTCATTGTCCCCTGTCATTTGCAAAAACCAGGGCGGATACCCTTGTAAGGGTATTCGCGCCGACATCCTACCAGACTATATTAAGCGCCGTCCCCATCGCCACGCCAAATAAAAAAGCTACAAACTCATTCACACTTCAAATGCTGACGAGAGCGGAACCAATTCCAATAAGCCGACAGACTCAGGGTTGAGGCCTCCAACACTCCATGCCGACATAACTATATGCTGCCAGGGTTTCAACCTGGGTTTCCGTTGTCCTGACACTAGGACGCAGGTGTATTACGCATCAATACTACAGCATAAGTTTCAAAGGTCACCTCAAACCGTCCTTTCCCCTTTCGTCCTAGACAAACGCCGACTTTTCGTTGGGTGTCCCGGTTAGACTCTCTCTTACAAGCAGAGTCATACAGGGACGCGGGCCTTAGACGAGACCTCAGAAGGCACTCTCGCCTTCCCCGCGAAAATCCTCACAATCAAACATATATATATGTATACGTAGATCTCCTCTCAGCTCTTTCTGCAGTCTAGTACAGAAACGCTAGGTCTCCATCATGGCCCACCATAGTCTGGTTGATCGAGCCAGATCTACGGCCTACCGCATTGTCATCTTAGCGGCAGTCCCTTCGTTGGTTATGCAACGATAGGTTCTCTCTTGATAGACATTCAATCAGGGCGTCCAAACGACTCGACTCGTATCCCTCGCCATTCCACCAGAGTAATTTCCTTGGGGCGTGCATAACCTCTTAAACTCTTACTCTGCTGGTAGACGTGGGCCCGCAGCCAAGTTGTGCTGGCTTGCAGCCATCCAATAGGGGTTGCGCCCTAGGGGTGCTAGCCTTTACCGTCTAGCTTGGTATTCCTCAATATGCCTTAGGATTAGCACAGGTGTCCAGGCGGTGCGTCGCATAACAAACTCACAGGGCCACTGCGGGACAACACAGGGATCTGCCCTACTTTTAAGGGTATTTACCAGCCCCCTATGGGACAATATAGAGGGCACGGCCCCTTCTCACAATCACAAACAATCTCACCGCTAGGCTCACACGAGGTCGTGGCCTACGGACTTGATCAGAGACAGCAGACCACACATCCCACGACATCTTTATGCACTGACTTGCGACCTTCTCAGCTTCACCAATGATTCCAACTCGTAACCCTGGTTCCTCTCGTCAAACTTTATCATTCAAACATTGCCTACGATGTCCTTAAATCTATCACTCATTTTTCACATGAAGGGGGTCTCTTTCAACAGGTCTCCCAGCCACCCCTCTCTTTACAGGATGGACTATCACGCGACATGGGTTACACTGCTGTCAATAAACAACATCCCCACCTTCCATAATCTGAGGGGGTCTCAATTACAGAACAACTCAACTGAGGGGCCTTCTTATGGGCCGTCTCCCCAACTTAAACATAAAACAACTCAAACTAAGGGGTCAACTTATGGGTCCCCTTCACAGCTCAGCCATAAACATTCGGCATGGTAAGCATCCGAGCCTTATAGGCTCGCAAGACCCCTCAGGGTCCTCATACATCTGTCACAAAAACGACTGCGCTGCCTCCTCTTATACCCGGCCGTTCCGCCCGCCCATGGGCAGGCCGCACGAGTATACCGAAGAGTAGACGACAATCACAATCACACAATACACATACATGAGATGTATCCCACACATCTCTCACACAAAGCCCTCATTCATTGGGATAAAGCCACACGTGTGAGAGTGATCGTGATCGTCACAAGAATAACTCCCACAGAGTCTGGAATCAAAGATATACTCGGGAGCAAAATATCTTCCTCAAGTCTCAATACGACACTCAACTCAAACCCTCAACACACAACTCGTAGGGTGTATTTGGGAACAAAATGCCTGCCCCGAAAACACTCAAATGCTCACTCCACTGTCCCGCTCCGCAGGATAAACTCACGTCCCAAGTGTCATGGACTCTCAGAACCTACTCAAAGCTACAAGTAAGAGCATTTGAATCACACAACTGAAAATGCAGGTCACGTATGTCGTAGATATCATACAACTAAGTCTCATCCCCTAGACCGTATCACACATAAAGCTCAAGCCGATCACACACCGCCACCTATGTATATACAACTAGACGGGACTCGCCTGACTAACTCAKAGTATGTACACTCCTATCACGGCCTCTGCGTACAGAGGAGCTCTAATCCTACTGTCATATAGACGGACCAGTCCCTACTCACTCATAGCCTCCTGGTTCTGTCTATATAACTGTGCCCTACCCCCATCTGGAGCCCGCTCTACCACTCGCCCCTGCTTGTCGTACATTCTCCCACCACTCTCTGTTACTCTCTCAGCCGCCTTGTCCTTAAGGAACTTCGGGCATTCAAGAGCTCTATGTATGCCGTCCTTGCAGAAGAAGCACTGATCGTCTGATCTCTCCCGACACCTCCTCTTCTTCTTCTGGGACCCAGGCAACGGCGGCGTCTCGCTGGTTTCCCTGCTCATCTCGTGGCTTTGGGGCATACTCCATGACTCTGCCGGCCTCGCCTCCATCATCTGGGTACTCGGCCCTGCTAGCGTCTCACCTCCCTCGGGTCGGTACGCTGGAGTGTCCAATCTCAGTGGCCTACCCTCGCGGACTCCTCCCATCGCAGTCGCCTCCTCGTCCCTATGCAGGTCAGAAGGTTGGGGAATCACGGTAGTCGCTGGCTCGCTCATAACTTCCTGTTGCTGCTCTTAGATGTGCTCTCCAGAGTCAGCTCCAGTAGCCCAAGAGCCTAAATGCGTCCTCAGCTCCCCTATCTCTGGCACACGCTCTGGGGTATTCTGTCTCTGAGGCTCTCCTGACGGGATGTCCAACTCCATGGTTGCCACTAACTCATCCAGTCGAGGCGCCTCTCCCTCCATTGCCTTTGGCTCAGTGGATGTTGCTGCTCCCGTAAGGGCACCCTCCTGCACCTCCAAAAGGATCGTAGGGGACTCCTCTGTGGGGCCCCCCTCCGCCACTGGAGGTTGGGTTCTCTGCGCCGGCTCGTCCTCAAGACCCTCAATCGTCATAGGGGTGGCCCGTCGCGAGGCCAACTCCGTGGGAGTCCTGAAGCTGAACCTCCTCTCCTCGGCCTCCCGCTTTGCTGCCGCCTCTGTCGGGTCCAGGAACACCTTCCCCATTCCCTCTTGCTGTGGCGTCTCTGTCGTTCCTTCCTGGGCAAAGAGCCCCTGTACCTCCTCCCCCTGGATACCATACCGGCTTTGCTCCGTCCAGTCGACCACCTTAGTGGCTGAGAGCCTCTCCACCATCGCCGCCATGTCCTGGAGCCTCTTCTCCCATTCCGCTTCCTTAACTTCCATACAGGACCTCCATGCTTGATTCTCTGCCCTCTCTTGGACAACTGTCCCACCTCTAACCTCGAGGCCGCCAACTCATCGCTGAGCATGGAGTACCGTTGGAAGGACGAGACCGCCACCTCACCTATCCTCCTATCTGCACGCTCAATCTCCATCYTGGCRGCTGAAAATCCCAAGTCCTCTGYCTCTCGTGCCTCRTCCAATCTTGCACTCCCCTGTCCTACCTCTCGCGACCTCAGGCGAGCCGCATCCCTCTCGCTCTCATAGCTGGCCCAAGCCTCGCTAATCCTCTGCTCGCTCGTCGGAGGGTCAATTGGCGGCTTTGGCGCTTCTCCTGCGGCCTCCATCCTAAGCTTTTTCTGGTATAGCTCTTCGAGGCGTACCTGCACCCTCGCGCACTTCTCTTCTCTCGTCTCCCCCGGTGGCTTCCCTGTCCTCGCCTCGTGACCCTCTCGCAGTGGATCTCTCTCGCTTGTCCCCTCCTCTGTGGGTGGCGGACCTGGCGGAGGCTCCCCGGATGCCGACACCTCCACATCCATGCGTGCACCTGTAGACTCAATTAGTTGCGGCGCCACAGTAGTAGGTGTCCTCGCCCTGTCGCCCCCCTCTGGCTCCGCCTACGGCGGGGGTGGCGTAGTAGCTTCCGGTGGGGGCCCAAACATCTCCTCGTTGTCCGGCTCAGGAATTCCTTCAGGCCAATACTGCCGCGCCTGTTTAGGAATCGGGGTAGGAGGAGGGGTATCATCCCCAACAGTGATAACCCCCTCAGTCTGCGGCTCCTTGGGTTCGCGAGACCCCGCCTCAGGCCTCGGCTCAGGTGGCTCCTCCTCTGGCTTATCCTCTACTGGCTCATACCGTGCCGGTCCGCTCTGGTCCGCTCCCAGCTGTGACGCCCCCCACAGGGACGCATCGAGATGAGCCTCCAATCTGTCGAGCAGCGTCCTCAACGGCACCGCCTCTCCCCCCTCTGGTAACGTCGGCGAAGGGCCCCGTAGATCACTGCCCGTGATTCGGCGAAACTCCACCTGCTCGAGTCCATAGGTAGGGGGTAGCTCCGCCGCCTGAGCTGTCCCCGCGGCCTGAACTGATTCCACCGCCTGGGCGCCCTCCGCTGACCCCTCTCGCTGTGCCAAGGTTTTTCGACCCCCTCTAGTCGTAGTGGTCCCTCTCGCCTCTGGGCCCCGTGGCCTCTTACTCCTTTGTCGTCTCTCCACCCTGGGCTTTGGTCTCTCGGGCTCCGGTCGTCGAAATGCCTGTCTCAACTGGGCCTGGCAGTCCTCCTAGTCGTGTGCCCTATCCCGAATCTGCCTTGCCAATGACCTCTCCGCCCTCCGTGTCCAGAGGGGCAGAATCTGCATCCACTCCTCCTGCCCAGTCCCCGGGTCACGCATATACTGCTCATAGGCCGGGATGAACTCCTCCGCATTGCCTTCCTCCAATCGGATAGGCAATCCATCCGGTCCCATCGACGAAACCCTCAGCATCTGCATCCTCGCCTCCACATCTTGCCATGTCAACGCCTCCTCTCGAATGTGCGCAATAGGCTCCTCGAAGCGCCCAACTCCTCTCAGGTGTCGTATCCTCTCCAAGGTAGACCAGCCCTCCCGTGTCGCATGTGCCTGGTAGGAATCCAGAAAAAGCTCTATGTTACCGTCGTCGAAAATAGGCGTAGACTCCCTCCCAACCGGTCTGCGCGAGTCATCCCCTCCTGATGATCCCTGAGGCCTCTGTCGTGGCCGCGCGCCCCTCCCGCCCGTCTGCATTGCTGTCTTCGAAAATTCAGACCTGCACAACAGGCGAGAGAAAGCAAGCAGGCACAAAACAAGGTTAGCCCTCGGTTCATCAAGTTTTTATGACAACACACATGCCTTTTCCTACTTCCTCACCTGTCCTGACCATAACATGCGATACCTTAAGGACCAGCCTACTCTGAGAAAGGTAGAATTCTTTACCTATTCCCTGGCCACGAACTTCTTCATCCTGGTTCCTGATACCCAATCCTGCCAGCCTGTCCCGTCCAGCTCCTCGATCTGATAGGCCCCAAATTCGCCGCATCGCAATATTCTATAGGGGCCCAACCATCTCTTGTCAAGCTTCCTCGACCATTGCTTTTCCAGAGAGGAGTCGTATAATAATACGACATCCCCTACTGCCAATGGCTCCTTTCTTACTCGTGCCATCTGGTCCCACCTCATTTTATCTTCCATGCGTCCTTTCCACCTGACCAGCGGCCTCTCGCAATCTTTCTTCGGCCGCCCCCACTTGCCGCGCCCGAATATCGAGCAGTTCTTCGAAAGACAGGTCTACCTCCAAGTCCTGGCGCCTCCACGTCTTCATAAAACTTTCTATGGGAAAGGTGGCATGCCTCCCGTACCATAGTGTGGCCGACGCGTATTTGGTAGTCCTCTTCACAGTAACATTCTCCACGAAGAAAGATGCCCGTAGGAACTTCGACCACTGATCAGGTTTGCCCTCTGTCCACTTAGCCAGGAGATTTGTGATGGTATTGTGCCCCCTCTCCACAGGAGCGTTCGCTTGAGGGTGTGCGGTCGTAGTATAGTTGGCCACTACGCCATACCCTGCAAGCAACGTCCTCACCTCATTGCAGGTAAACTCTGATCCTCGATCCATCACAAACTTCCTGACAAAAGGGTATTGTAGGTAATACTCCTCGATGCGGTTCGCCAAAACCGGGCGAGTCTTCGTCCGGATAGCTCGTCCGTCCACAAACCCAGTAAGGTTATCCCGTGCATCAAAGATGTAATTACACCCATTCTCCCCTGCTGGCATGAATAACAGGTCCAGGTGTACGACCGCACCCACTTCCCTTTCTAACCTTGGGTGTAGAGGCTCTCCAGGCCTTTGCGCTGATCTTTCTTGGCAAGGTATACAGGACCGGCAGTATTCGATAACCATTGTCAGCATCCGTCCCAATGGTAGAGCTCGCTTATCTTCGCACATGTGGCACCTACTCCTCTGTGCCCCCCTGCTATACCATCGTGTAGGGCCGCTGTGATATCAATTTGCCGGTTTCTCCCACATACGATCCTCTTGGGGTTCCCGACCTGCCGCTTTATAAACAAGTGGCCGTTTCTTACCACATAGAGGTGCCTCATCTTCTGTGCCTTGGCACTTGCATCTTTATCCCTCATCTCACATGATAGGAGCAACCCCAATTCCCGGTAGATCCCATCGTACTCCTCCGCCTGAAACTCCTCCTTGATTTCTCCTTCCTCGAATTCGTCGTCTCGGCTTTCAAGAAGCAGAATCTCATTCTCCTCGTGACTGAACGAGCCCTTCCGGTCGAAGTCTCCCTGCAGGAGCGTATTGGTGAGAAGGTACATCCCTCCCATTGGCTGCTCATGCTCCTCTACCTTAGTGGGGCCTTCCTCTATTGTCCTCACTTCCTCCACCAGACTTTGCGTACCTGCCAATGCCAACTTCATCATCCAACCAACATCCTTACTCCCCCACAGATCCTCCTCCTGAAAGGGCTTGAGGACTAACTCTTCCTTCTGCTCGTACCCCTTCGGCGCCAGCCATATGGGGTCACTGACGCAATTGGGCACTCGCAAGGACCACTTGTTTATGTGCAGGCGGACGTCCTCCTCTTGATCCAAAAACCCATCAACTGGCGGCGTGTCTTCTATCGATTCCTCGTTTGATCCGTCCCAGTTGATGCGGCTTAACCCATCTGCCCTGTTTTTGTTCCCTGGGATCCTTTCCAACTCGAAATTAAACATCCAAATGTAGGTCAACCATCTTGCGACGGTTGGGTCAGATGGAGTATAATTCTTCAGGGAACATGCCAGTGCAGTCGGGTCTACCCTCAAGATGAGCCTCCTGCCAAAAACATAATTCTGGAAGGTCCTTAGGCAATAAAGTACCGCCAGCGTCTCCTTCTTGAATTGAGAGTAGTTCCTCTCAGTTGTATTGAGGGTACGACTTTCAAATCTTAGCGGCCTCTCCTTCTCCTCAGTATCTGCCTGAATCAGGACTCCTCCCAAGGCAGTTGGCCCAGCGTCCGTCTCAATGACGAATGGTCTTTCCTCCGTGGCCTCATAATTTGGCGCTCCCAATACCAAGCCCCCTTCCTTAAACTCTCCCTTCATCCTACCGACCACCTTTTCCTTGTCTTCACCCCAGACCCATTCTTGATCCTGGCGCACCAACTTCCTTAGATGTTCCGTCTTCGTGGCAAAGTCCTTCACGAAGCTCCTCCAAAATCCGCATGTCCCAAGGAAGCTCCTCACATCCGTTATCGAGCGGAAGGGCACTGGCCACTCAAGAATCTTATCTGTCTTCTGTACGTCAGGCCTCCGCCCACTCTCATTGCAGACGAACCCTTGAATCAGGGCCTCCCTCATACAATGTTTCGACTCGGGGCCGCTCGCCGTCAGGTTATGTTCCTCCAATAACCCCAGAACCTGATCGATGTCTTGGACATGCTTCCAGACAAAGCGTCGCACACCGGGCATCAGTTCGTCTTCCTCCTTCTCCTTCGGACCTTTGACCGCCAGGTCATCAATATAGGGCTGAGTGATATGTGGACTGACCGTCTGCATGGCTCTGATCATATGCCTTTGCACCATCGCCACTGCATTCGTCCACCCTTGAGGCGCCATGTTCATATGAATCAGCCCTCTGGAAGCATTGCCGTTACAGGCCTGTCTGGAGGGTATACAGGGAATCTGTCGTACCCAGAGTAGAGGTCTATGAGCAAGATTATAGGCCTCCCTGCGCACGACTCTGACAGCGCGTCCGCGTTTGGTAACCCCCCCGCATCCCGCACCGTCACGACGTTTAACCGCTGCAAGTCCTGCACCCACCTTAGCGTCCCATTTGGTTTGATAAAACAAAACCAAGGTGACGCATATGGTCCACCGGAATAGTCGGCCACGTGCGTCCGCATCTTGTTGTCCAGGTAGTCCAACACCTTCTTCTCCTCATACGGATTTGGGTATCGCACACCCCTTAAATTCCATGGCTCGTGCGGAACGGTGTCGATTCGTATCATCGGAATCTTGTCCACATCCAGCCTTCCACGCTCATCGTCATCGAATGCATACGCGCGGTGCCTTTTCTTCATCAGCCCCACCATCAACGCTCTTTCCTGGGGCGACAGGAAGTCGGGTTCCCCGATTATCAGCTTTCCCTTATTCTCGTCGTTGATACGGCACGGCCCGGCCAACGCATGCTCCCGCATACGCCGTATCAATCCTCACTCCCGCTCGTAATAGGCTTCCTCATCCTCTGTGACGAGCACGGGAACTGGGCGACACTTCTTATCTATGGTCTTGTACCGCCTTTGGGAACCCTGCTTAAGCCCTCCCCTAAAAAAGGTCGTCTTGTCGCTCGGGCCTGGGCCATCGCAGGGCCTCCCCTCCCTCCCGGAAGCCGATACACCAACTCCACCTCCCACACCTGAGGGTTCTCCAAAACCTGTTCCCTCAATGCCTTAATGGCCTCCGGATCCGCCATGTCGTGAGCCGATACCACCTCCATGGCCTTATTCACATCCATGAGGCTCAATGTCAGCACCTCAGCCCTATCTTCTTCCTCGAGCACTTCCCAAAGCCGTCTCCGCTCGTTCTCTGATTCCTCAAAGGTGAACGAGCCTAGATTGGGCCTATTCCTCCCGCTCCCCGGCCCTGTGTTCCGGCAGGTGATAACTTCATAATTCCCACACGCCGGCTCGCACAAGAGCAGGATCATTGTTCCGTCGTGCTTATTGAAGATCAACATTTCCGTCCTGCACAGAAACGACCGCCCCAGAAGGATGGGGTGATCGACATGGGGCATAACGAAAAAGCAAGTCCTGGCACCTTCCCAATCTCTATAATCATATTTGACGATGTGCCGCAAAAGGCGGCCTTGCAGTTAGCACCATGCAGCATGCCATGGTCCGAGCGGTCGATCTCCATGCCTATCTTCACCGCCTCCTTCTCCCTGATGATGTTCATCTCTGCACCTGTGTCCACCATCCCAGTACAGTTCTGGTTCCTTATCACCAAATCCACCTGCCCGCACGCCACACATTTCCAATCCATCCTTGTCCCTGCCTCAGTCCACTCCACCTCTCTAGGCAGGACCGTACTCAGATGGACATTTGGCACCAGCCTTCGCGACAGTCGTCCCTTCAACTCACCACGGAGCCTTGGCGCCGACGCCAGGATGTCTTTTAGGTTCATCAAGTCATTATGGCCTTCCAGGAGTTTGTCCACCATCCGCTCCACATCAAAGCCTTCCTCCATCCGGACCTCGTACTTCTTCCTCTTAGGCACGCTGTCGGGCAGGCTTGGTTCGGCCTCCTCCTGGGCCCCCCTCTTTTTGGTCCTCATCTCCGCCCGCTGATCCTCCTCTTGTCGGAGCTTCTCATCCTCTTCCTCGTCATCCTCTTCCTCTTCCTCCGGAACCTCCACCACCTCCTTCCTACGTCCAGGCTCCGGTTCCTTTCGAGGGGGTGCCTGACTGAGCGCCTGACTGGGCTCTTGACTAGGCCCAGCCTTATTTTGGCTCCTGGTCCTAGCCGCCTGCGGCACCCTCCCATGCGACGTGGGGGGTCTATAGGTCATACCTGACCTAGGGCGTCCCTACAGTCGCCACTCTTGGAGTCATAAAGAAAGACCTCAGGCAGGTTGGCCTCCCACTCTCGGGCTTCCTCACACAGGGCTTGCAGCTTCCGCTGGTATCTCCCCACCTTTTCCAGCAGATCTTTCATTCTTCCCAGGAGGAGTGTGGCCGACTCTCCTTCGCCTTCCTGCCCCTCATCATCCGATTCGACGACTATTGGCTCCTCTCTTATAGTCCCCGCCTTCAGTCGTTGAGTGACCTCCTCGCTATCTCCCACAATCTCCTCAACTTTTATGGCCAACTCTCCTTTCTCCTGCCACATCCTGAACATGGCCGGGGTTGCCGATGGCCCTGCCGCCGCTCGCCTAAGAGCTTCTTGCCTGATTCCTCCCGGGGTCCTAGGGTCGATAGGCTCTCCCCACTTATCGTATATATCCCCGTCCATACAAGAGGAAATTAGACCGGCCAACTCATCATCTCGCCGCCGTTGGCAGAACCGTATAATGTGGCCCACCTCGCTACAATGCCAGCAGGTGGTGTTTCGCCAATCAAAGTGGGGCCTCCCATACCCTTGGCCCCCTTCTTGGCCACCTCGGCCACCTTGGTTCTGACCCCCCTGACCATTCCAACCACCCCCGCGACCCCCATCATTTCCTCCTCGGCCTCGGCCGCCACCTCCTCGACCCCCTTGACCTCGCCTTCAATTGCCTTGTCCGCCTTGTCCTTGGTTTCCTCCCACGGCCACGCTGACCTGCGAGGCCTGTTGGGAGGGAGGTGGTTGGGCCACAAACTGACCCTGAGCCGCAGGGTAACTCGGGGGCCCCATACTTGCCGCTGGGCCCGCATAAGGGACCATTTGCCCGGGCTGAGTTTGACTACCCCCGCACGAGGCCCAATGATTACAACTGGGCCAGGATGTAGGCTGACAATGCGGCACCCAATGCCCACAAGCCGGCGGCGGCCCCATACATGATGGCCCGACCGTCGCTGATGTTGTCATGGCAGCAGGTGGCGGTGCAGCAATTGCTTGCGGGACCTGCCCTTTTCCGGATCCTTGACCCCCACCTGTAAATTTCGCTGCTTCCTCTGGGCCTTGGTTAGGATCTCGGATCTCGTCTCTTCTCCGCCATAGTCCTCCCGCCTAGCCTCCTCTTCCACTGCCCCCGACGGCCGGCCTTGGGCCACGGTCACTCCCCTCTTTTGCACTTCCGCCTCATTATCATACCCCAACGCTGCCAATACGTCCGTGACGATCCTCTTCACCCCTGGGGTCCCGGACGCGGTGGCGTCCCTTTCCTTTCTCTTGCGCCTTTGCAGCCGCACCTGGTGTTGTTCCACCTGGTCCAGGCTCCCCTCTTCCACCCCTTTATCGATAATGGCCCTGGTGAGTTTTTCATTTCCCCCTCCGTGACCCGTCAGCTCCGAAGCCTCCGAGCCAGTAAGCAGACCCAAAAATATAGCACACTGGGTTTCTTCGGAGATCCCGTGCACCTTCCGCGCCTTCCTTTTAAACTCGTGCACAAACGCCCCAATCGTGGAAAAGTCATCCTTGCTCATGGCTTCCAAATCCGCCATGGTCAGCAACCCATCCCCCAACCTGTACTTTCTCTGCATCATGTCCCTGAACCTCGCCCAACTACCATTAGCGGCATCCACGACCTTGCCCACTTCCTGATGGTGGCCATGAAGGACATATCTTAGGACTCGCTGGAGTTTGACCTCGTCCGACAGGCCCACCAGTGCTTGCTCCGTCAGGTCCAGCCAGTCGGACACTCGTTCTCCCTTGAAGTGGAAAGTATCAACCTTCGGGACATTGCTCGACGCCTTCTCGCACTTATCCAGGGCATCGATGAGGTCGTCGAGCTTTACAAGCTTCCTCCCTCCATCTGCCATCTCCTCAGGCATTTTGATTAACCGCCTTCAGCTTCAATCCCCCTGTTATAAGAAGCGATAGGACGAAAGGTTCTACTCAGCAGTCCATTCCTTCATGATCCTACCGAACCGACCACCTAAGCACCCGACGCTCCGGACCTAACAGACATTTCTCTCTCTACTTCCTACCTCCCTTAGGTTCACCTAAGGAAGACCAACTCTCATCACAGAATTCACTCACATACTCGCCTCGTTCATGCCATCAACCAAACCATCAATCAAATCAACATTCATACCCACACAACCATATAGACTACTATACGACCCATCTCATAGTTCTTCTCCTATTTACTCACGCGCCTAGTTCTCTCTCATTCTCATATTACCCGGATGTCGTTCCACCAGGGACAACGGTAGGCTTCCGTTATCCCCTACAATGGCGCCACCTGTCAGGCGCTTCGGTTCGGCGCCTCACATGGCAGCGCGGGACCCTCTCGGCCGCGTCACGCAGGAGTTGGACCAACTTCATCGCGAACACACAAATGGAGCTTCCTTAGGCCGCTCCGGCCGAGTGCGCCAGCCATACCTCTCGCAAGCCCCTACGACAGGATAGGGCCTACGCGAGGCACAACTTACCTCCACCTTACGGGAGCTCTCACCTCCCTTCGGTGGGCGTATCCCCGCCGAGCTACCAGTCCACAGTACGAAAGCTACTCGGTTGCAATCGTAGAGGTGGACCAGCCGAGGGCGTTTCTCGTCCGTCGTAGCATAGGGGGTACGCGCGGTAATACGCCTATCAGGCCCGCACGCGGGCCGACATCTTGGGGAGGCTGAAGTCCCAAGTGTGGCTCGACACCGGTCGACTAGGACGCATCCCACACACCACGCACACACCACTCTACGAACACAAAAACAAAACACACTCGCACGCACACATTGCACAAACGACACAAAACAAACAACGCGACAACGCTCTTAGTCCCTCGGTAGCCAACCCATAACTTTCCAATGAGGAAATCGGATGGGCGTCGCACGCGACTCGCAATGCAAACGTACGCAAGCAGTCGTAGTGATGACGTACTATGTCGTGCCCATAATCAAGCGGCCCTCGTTAATTTCGAGCATCGCATTCGACTCTCAAGTGTCGGCTGACACACACCTTAAAGGTTAATCTCTCGACGCTGGACAACCACCGTGCGCGGTTGGAGACCACACCCTCTTCTGCACCCTGTGCAGAGGAGTTGAGTAGACAGCCTTAAGTTGTCGTGGCGGTCGAAACATCAAGGGGTTTGACTTTGACGGCCGCCACGGACTATAACGTCCAACCATGAAAACGCAAAAAGGAGACTCACTCCAACCCCCATTAGTTGATGACTCTCTAAAATGGAAAGGGGGGTGGATAAGCCTAAGCGACGCGCGAGCGGAGGAGGTCCGGTATCCTATCCATAGGCTACCCGACATCCGGGATAATGAGGCCCGTACACGGACCCCCAAAAACTGACCGGAGCTAGTCCTCCGCCCACGTGCCGCTTCACGTTACCAAGACCCCAAGTTTGTTGGTCGTGTCGCGCTCGTGATCTCGCCGCCTAACCCATAACTCTTTTAGTGCAGGATACGACGAGTGTCGCGCGCGAACTTAGTATAAGATCGCGAGGGCGCTGGACTTACACATCCTATCTCGCTATGCAGTTCTACGCGAGTAACCGCGATGACGGCGCATTGTGTAGTGCCCACACCCAAATGACCTACTATGAGCCAAAGGGTCATCTTTCAACGCTCAGGCGTAGGCTGAAGCGCGAGCCAATGGGGGTAACCCTTTAGCACGTACAAAACCGGCCTGAGGGCCTTTCCGTCTTCTGCACCCTGAGGTGTCCCAACGGGTGCGGGGCAAGACGGCCCCTAGGGCAGGAGGGAGTTTGGAGCGGTGGTGAGTTGTCTGACGCATCACCAGCAACACGCTGACACTTCCGCCCGAAACTTTATCGTTCCATCAAGATGAATCGCAACAAGGAAAGAAAACAAGGATTTGGCGAGGGATATCCCCCCCTTTTTATTCACCCCAACCTTCGACTGACCCTTAGTACGTGGGCACTTCAGGCCACGTTGGCTCCACACGTAGGTACACATGCACTGGCACGTATATATATATATATATATATATATATACAGTTTGTCACAGCCCCTCGTTTGTTGTCCTCTTCTCTCTCTCTGCCTACGGTTTACCGGGCAGTTCTATTTGTGACGATATATATATATATATATATATGCACAAGGGGAATAATTATGTGACGATCACTTCTCACAGTCATAGTGCGTCTCCTCCTAGACATATATATATATGCGACCGCAAGGCAACCCAACCAAAACCCCAAGTCTTTGAACATACATGCAATCACATCAAAAGTCAAACAAGAGTCTACACGCTACGCGGAGTCAACTCCAGCCAGTTCCTATACTCATACCCCTCGCTTTAGCCATGCAAACCCCAACCTCCACCTAGCCATCCTCAATTAAATACTCAGTACCTTTGTTAAACGGCCATTCAATAAAAGTCTGGGTAAAACCCTAAACAAACAAAAAGATCACTAGGGCTAAAGCCTTTTAGGTTGAGTATGGGCAGCGAGTAGGAGTTGAGTCGTGAGCCGAAGAATCGACAACCGACCTGTTATCAGTGATAACAGAAAATGATCATCGTAGGATCAAACTGAATCTAGTCCAAGTCCTGAATCAAACGGTCAAGTGGACCTGTAACACAAGACAGACCAATCCCCAGACTACCCTTTAAGTCCATGCAGAAAAGAACTCCAAAACACATTCTCACTCAAGACTATCCGTCAACCAGGTCTAAGTCTACCTCTAAGCCAGTGCCCAAAGCAAAGGTAGACTAACGACAGAATCTCCCCTATTCACGGTGGATTGTCAGAATCGCCACCTATCAAAATATAATCTAACTCTTCTAAATCCAAAAAATTTTGACAGCGCTTCCCGTAGGAAAAGTGACTTTTCAGAATTTATATTGGCCCGAGTATGGAAACAGAAATAATCTTTGACTTTCCAAAGTCCAATTTTGTCCAACTCCCAAAATTAGCAAAAATTTGGGCAGCACTCCCTTTAGAAAAAAAGACTTTTCTGATTTTTACTAAGTCATATATAAACTTTAGACAAGTTGAACTTTGAAAAGTCAAAATTTGACTAACTCATTGGATTTGCAGAAATTTCGGCAACGCTTTCCGTAGAGAAAGTAACTTAGCAGAATTTATACAAAGCCAAGTACAATAAAAGATCCCAGAAAATGCAAGAATCGATCTAAGTAAAAAAACTTAGTCTAAAAAATGCAGGAATTGACCTAACTCCTATCGCTCTAGCACGTGGCGAGCCACTAAAGCAACTACCTACCAAACTAAAACTCAGACCAAGTAGTAGCCTCACTCAGTCACATGCAAGGCCAAATCACAAAGGTAAGTACTCTCGCCATCCCAAGTCAAACTTTGCAAACAATAGTTCGTAATCTGTCGATACTTTATTCCCTTGTACCCAACTTACATAGGGCATAAAGTCAAGCCGTCCAATCTTATGGAACCTGTCTGACTCAGCCATTGAGTATACACGAACAGGTTGCACAACTACTTCTCTCTTTCTTTTGGGCATATGACTAAGCCGTTGATCTTAGAACAAGGCTCAGCCGCCCTGAACTGTCTAATATCCAAATTATATATACCTCTTTGGGCTTGGTGTTCAAAAGTTGGGCATAGGACTCAACCGTCATCTTAGAACAAGGTCCGATCTGCCCAGGGTTACCTTCAATTATACTCTTAGTTATACTCTCTTTATTTCATAATAAGCTATAACCAAGCCGTCCAATCTTATGGAACCCATGCCTGACTAGCCTGTTCATAAATAGGATAGTATAAAATATAGCCAAAATTTAACCTTTTGGGTTCCAACATGTGCGAGCCTTTGGGCCAGACCGTCCAATCTTATGGAACTGGTATGGTCCTCTGCCAGGTTCGTTTCTCTCTGACCCAACTGTGTACAGCATGAGTCCAAGGCCGTCCAATCTAATGGACATGCCCTGCCCTCAGCAAGGATTGTCCCCTTAGAATAAACCAAGAGGGGGGCTGAGCCGTCCAATCTTATGGACTTGCTCAGACCTCCTCGATCAGAAACAAAAGAAACAGAACAAACCCCAATCAAACATGGGAACCAAACCCTCCAATCTTGGCAATCAAACCCTCAAATTTTATGGTACAGGTTTGACCCCTGAAAAGTCAATCACAGTCAAACCCCCACAATTCATAGCAATCAGACCGTCCAATCTTATGGAACTGGTCTGACTCTCCATGCAATTCAAAAATAACCACAGCGGTCAGGCCATCCAATCTTATGGAACTGGTCTGACCCCATAGGACCCAGTCAGGCTCAAGCAAAACCACCTTTTACCCACCCTTCCCCCAAATGCAATCCCTTGTGTTCACAATCTGCCTTCAGGCAATCAACAACACTGAAACTGCGATTGCACACACATTCCTTTATTTAGTCTGACTTGTGTCCTGTCAGCCAAACCAAAGTCAAAATAGGGGTGCATACAGTATACTCAGTCAACATAACAGGACGTACAAATAGGGGTTATACCAGGGTATATAAAGGGAAAGCAAATGGCTACCTTTCAATTCCCTCCTTCCAGAGCCTCGCCTAGGCTCCGGTAGAGCTCCCGCAATCGGTGGGGCGAACCTCCCACAGAGGCCTTGGCGCGGATGACGGGTTGCAATCCCGCCTGCCGCCTTCATCTCAGAGCCAACAGACCAGATTTAGAATAAGAAGGGCAGAAGGATAAGATTTTCAGACTCTCAGATCCAAGGAGGGTGCTCTCAGACTGGCAGGAGAGGGCCTTCCAATCTTCTGTCGCCTGAGGGCCCCGCAATGGCGGCCAGGTTGTAACCGCTCGGTCAATTCTTCAGTCGACCCGCCAACTTTCCCTTCCTGTCGACCACCCAGGCTGCAGCACTAACCTCTGTTGCCAGGCTCAATCACTTCCCCTGTGGCACCGCTGGTTGCAACAGCCGGCAACAACCACCGCGGTCTGCAGTAGCACTCCGAAGTCAACCAGCATCCACCAGCCACATGCAG